CAAATCCAAATCCAAATCCACCTAGAAGAACACTCAGAGACTATGCTATGCAACAAGGTCCGAGACACTTCTCCAACATTGCAATACCAGCCAACCAAACATTAGAGATGAATTCAACCTTCTTAAGCTTGATTAGTGCTCATCAATTCACTAGAATGGATCATGAAGATCCCTACATTCATTTGTCTACTTTTTATGAGTTGATTGGTACCATGGGATTTAGAGAAGCAGATATTGAATTTGTATACTTGAGATTATTTTCTTTTTCATTGGCTGACAGGGCAAAGGAGTGGCTGAAAGCATATCCTAATCAGAGTTTGACTACCTGGGGTAATGTAGAAGATAAGTTCCTGAACAGATTTTTCCCACTATCCCGCTACATCAAAGCAAAGTCTGACATTTGTACTTTCAGACAAGGAGCGAATGAACCCTTTTATGAAGCATGAGAGAGATTCAAATCACTTTTAAGGAGGTGCCCAAATCATGGATTTGAAGACATTGCCCAGTTGAACATATTTTGTACTGGCCTGCGACCTTATACCAATATGTTATTAGATGCTGCAGCAGGAGGAACCATGATGGATGTAGACTTCGAACATGCCACAAGAATTATTGATGCACTAGCCTCTATAGACCAATAGGCCCAACATGATAGACATCCAGTTCAGAGGGAAGGAGTACTTGAGCTTAGCACCTCAGATGCTCTCTTAGCCCAGAATAAAATTATAACCCAACAGATTGAAGCATTGACCCAACAAATGGCGAAACTACCTCAACAATTGCATGTAGTACAATTCACTTCTAACCAACAGATGAGTTGTGACTTTTGTGGAGGTGATAATGAAAATGGACATTGCTCTTATCAAGGCAACCTACAAGAAGAAGAAACTCATTATATGGGTGCTCAAAGTGGTAGTGGTCAAGGAAGACAAGCAAATTTCCTTAATTCCAACGACTATCAACATTGACCTAGTAGGTGACATCAATATTGATAGGTTAATTGATTTTCTTAAATTGACCTAGCCATTATGCAAAAGAGGGAAAAGGAATGAAACCAATCCTAAGTTCTTTTATTTGATATTTTCTAAACGCACTTTACAGTTCTTTGTCATTTAATTTCAATCCAAATATTTATAAAAACCCAATTTTGTTTCAATATACTTAAGTAAGCATATGATTTGGAATTTCTATTGAAACCGTTTCTCGTGGGATCAACTTTTATTTAATTGAAATACTATACTGTGATTGATAATTTTGGTACATTTGCCAAATATTCAACACCAATTCAACCTAAATTTATGTCGATTAGGTACTCCGGTGTAAAGTTACGCCTCCTACATTAATGTCAGAGCTTAATCAAATGTGAAAAGTTCAAAATAACATATGTATAAAGCAAGGCCAAACCCAAAATTTTATAAGAGAAAGGTTAACATATAAAAATTAATATAAAAGTAAATATACTATATTAAACATTAAAAATTATAAATTATGTACATATATTTAAGATCTACATAAACAAATATATATATATATATATATATATATATATATATATATATATATGAAGTCAAGTACATCTCAATTGTGCTTGATGATATTTCATATTGTAAAAATAATCAATTATCACATCTTAATCAAATTTTACAACAATCTCTTTTTCAATGTAAATAATCATGTAATCAGTAAGAAAATAATCTTTCATGTTATTTTGAAGTCTTGTTTTAGTAATCTTCATAGTTAAAAATGCTCATTATGTTGTTATCGTGGAGACAAGAAGAGTCAAAATAAGTCGAATCAATCTATCAATCAAAGGATATGTATTTTTTATTTTCCAATTTCCATTAGTTTTTAACATAATTTTGCAATAGTAAACAAATTTTGAAATTTTGGAACTTTAGGCACATCAAATTCATAATGTTGTAATTCTTATGTCAACTTAATCTTCTCTTACTCATAAAAATCTAAAGAATAGAATTTCTCAAACTAGCTTGCAAATGCGAGAAGCATTAATTTTTTTGTAATCGTGTTTAAGATCTAAATTGGTGCTGAATATGATAAGTTCGGTTATGTGCTCATTGAATATATTATTCAATTCTTTCAATTGATAATCTTTTACAGTAATAAATATATCAATAGATAGTGATGCTTAAATGTGATAACATCTTTTCGACAATGAGATCGAATTATATCAGAGAAAGAAACATTCATATCATGAACTTCAATTTTTTGTTTGCCATAAAAAATGATAACTTAACAATAAAAATATATAACATTCAAAATTTCTTGAGATTTGTGTTACAATACTTGACAAAGTTTGTGAGTGATTCTCAAAATTTCTCTCATCACATATAAAATGAACACAAAATCAAACGATATCAAAGATTTAAGAGTATAAGTAGCATCATCTTATTGAGAGTATATAGACTATGAATAGTTAAATCTTCAAGAACTGAATTTGTTACACTAAACATGCATAAAATGTTGCATATTGAATTAAAATGAGAACCCCATCTAGTGTCTTCATACCTTTGCAATGTGTCTATTTAATTAGTCCCCCTTTCCTATCTCAATCTCATTCATTACTAGCACCATCATATCTTTGACCATAATATTACTAGAATCGTCATATCCTTGATCACAAACATTTTCAATGTTGAGATTATGATGAAATAATACAAAACAAATTTCTTGTCTAAGAGTGGCTGCAAGTAGTATCTCTTATATGTATTACATCTATTAGACACTCTTTAATAAATCCTTATTTATCAACAAATCTAAGAACAATAATTATTTATTCTCTTTTATATTCATCTAAAACCTCATCAACAATCAAATAAAATTTTGCATCACCAATCTCATTACGAATTTCACTTTGAACCTTTCTAGCAAAAAGATGTAGAATTTTCTTTGAATAGCGAGTGATGTGTATCTTACGTTTTGAGGACATTCTCCAAAACATCTGCATTAGCTTTTTTTTCCTTTTTTTTTAACTTCTTGTCTTTTTCCAATGTGAAAATGTCTCCAACTTGAATAGAAGATAAAAGACTAAAAAACAAAAAATTATAATTTATTGATGAGATTTATACCTACTTTTGTATTATGTATTATTTACCATTTTAAAAATCAGACCAGTTTAATCGATTGAATCGAGAATCAGACTAGAAATTAATCTGTCAGTTGTTTTAAAATAATCAAATTTTAATTAAATTGGGATAAAATCAAGTAAAATCGAAAAAAATTAATGAATTTTTGGGTCAAATCATTGGTAAAAAAATATTTATGATAATTTTTTTTATAAAATATAATATATTTTAGTTTCTTTTTATTTTATATTAATGAATCAACTTTAAATATAGTTATTTTATTATATTTTTATCTTATTTTAATAATTGTATTATATTTATAATTTTCATTGTAATTAATCTTTATTATTTTTTTATAAAAATATTATTTTATTAAATTCAGTTAAATTTTTAATCTCTAAACCTATGTGATCACTTTATCCCTACGATTTTTAAAACATTGGTATTACACAATCTCGTATCCACAATTATAGATATTTCTCTAGTTAGTAACAAATGACATGATAAACTAAAAAATATTATTAAAATAAAGGTTTTAATATCATCTTTAATCTAATTTAATGTTGTAAAGTGAAAGAGAGAATGTGAGATAATCACTACTACAAATAAAGCTTTCAACGTCGGTTCTAAATAAACCGACGTTGAAAGTATGATTTTTTAAATTAATAATTTTTATTTATTTACAACCCCTTTACCCCCTTTTATTTATCTAGAAGTCTCCCTCTCTTTATATTATATTTTTTAGAAGTTTATTAATTTTTTAAGAGAATTGTCATTGGCAAGATTCGAACCCAATACTTTAGAGTTGGAGGTCGATACTCCAACCACTAAACTACTAGAATTTTCCGATAATAACTTACAAATAAATTATATTTATATACAAATAAATATATATCCGTGTAAATATATAAATATATAAATACAAATATATTTATATATTTTGATATATTTATATAGTTATATATTTATATGTTGGATGTGAGGGCACACTCGAAAGTGAAAGTGTGTGTCGAGTGTGTTTTCAAAATTTGATACTAAATTTGTGAGCAGGTATCTTTATATGAGTTTGTAATTTAATGACAGAATATAATCTTTATAATTTTATTTATATAATGATATAAAATAAATTTGGGAAACGCGTTATTTTCTCTCAAGCGAAAAATACCAATTTTCGCTCAAGCGAGACTTGAGTAAGTGAATTTCCGTGAGCTTTAACATATTTTCACTCAAGCAAGAGTCAATCAAACTTTCACCCTCGATCGAAAAATACCAATATAATTTATTTGTAAGTTATTATCAAAAAATTATAGTAGTTTAGTGGTTGAGATATTAACTTTCAACCCTAAAATACTGGGTTCAAATGCTATCAGTGACAATTCATTAACTTAAGAGAATTTTTGGCTGAAAATAAAAATAAAAATACTTTCCAGAAAATATATACAAATAAATATATATTTACATGGATATATATTTATTTGTATATAAATATAATTTATTTGTAAGTTATTATCGAGAAAATTCTAGTAGCTTAGTGGTTGGAGTATCAGCCTTCAACTCTAAAGTACTGGGTTCGAATCCTGCCAATGACAATTTTCAAATTTAAGTGAGTTTTTGGGTGAAAAAAAATAAAAAAAAAGACTTTCCATGTCGGTTCATATGGGAACCGACGTGGAAAGTGTCAATAAGTAAAAAAAAAAAAAAAAAGACTTTCAACGTTGGTTTATATGGGAACCGACGTAGAAAGTATTTTCTACGTCGGTTGACTAAGAACCGACGTGGAATGTGATTACTATTGAACTTTCAATGTCGGTTCATCTGGAACTGACGTGGAAAGTACTTTCTACGTCGTCTAAGCTATAACCGACGTTAAATGACGACGTAAAAAATATATTTTGTAGTAGTGAATAATAGAAAGACAATGATAGGTTTTGGTGACTGCAAGGTGGCGGACAGAGTCTCGAACACAAGCACCAATTTCAAGATGGCGAGCACAAGCATGGCACTAAGGGCTATGCGCGGGTAAAGGAGTGATGATTGTGGGAGCAAACATGCGTGCTGAGCAAGGACGGATTTTAGTTGGATTGGAGTGGGAGGAACCCATGATTCCCCAAGCTTTTTTCTGAAAAAGAATTATATATATATATATATATATATATATATATATATATATTAAAATCTCAATCGTAAATAAAGAAACCAATACTAAATAATATGGTGAATTTTAATGTTAGATATAATTTTAAAATATTTATGTTATTATTCAGTTTAAAAGTTACAAAAATCAAAAGAATAGATTGAGTCCAAAAATAAAAAAAGGCATATCGAGGCAAAAAAATAATTAGTATTGAGTTTTTTGAAAAAAAGATAAAATATCGATAAATTGGAAATCGAGGAATTAAAAATAAAGAATATCGACAAAATTAAGAATCAAATACTTAGATAGTGAAGAATATCGATACGAATATATCGAGAGGAAGTTACACGGATCGGTACATCGAAAGACTAATGAAGGCGGTTAAGAAAACAAGTTTCTTGGAATGTACAAGTTACAAGTAATTATGTGTCAACCAGGTGAAACCGTTATAAGAAGATAATCGTTCGAATATTCCAATTTGCAATTTTTATTTTATTTTATTTTATTATTTTTATGATTGTTTTAGCGATTACAAAAAACAATATAAATAGGATAAAATAAAGGTAATTAAAGGTGATTGACAAATTATATAACTTATATTCTGAAAAACGCTATGAACTATTAGAATCGCGCAACGTGAATGTTTGCGTTTCCGGACAAAAACCAAGAGGGGGTGAATTGGTTTCTTAAACAAAAATTAGGGTTCTAAATTTTTTCCCAAATTTCACCGATTAAAATGTTGTGTAAAGTAAATAGAGAAGGGATAGAAGATCACACAATAGATTTATATTGGTTCGGATCAAAAGACCCTATGTCCAGTTACTAATCACTCAAATAGAGGATTAATGCTGTCACTATAATCACAATTATACAAACAGAGTACAAATGAAAAGATAAGGTAAAGAATACACCTCTCTTGAGTCACACAAGAGATGAACACCTCCTTTGAATCCACAAAGGATGAACAACAACTTTCCCTAGAGACGACACAACACACAATCCACCAATAAACCCGCTCAGTGATTCTTATCGCTTCTAGCCCACACTAGGTTTCAAAAGCCCCTTTTTCTTCCTAACAAACAGTTCTCTGGCAGTCACAACTCTTAACTTTTGTTTGAAAAAAGTTGTTCATTTTGTAGAGAGCCTTAAAGAACCTTAAGTAGAGAGATTAAGGTTTGAGAATTGGGGATTTTCAAAAACAGATGAATTGGGAATAGGGTTTTCGAAATTTGGTCCAATTTTGAATTTCAAAACACATATATGACTGAAATAATCGATTATCTTGAGTGTTAATCGATTATTCCAGAGCCATTTTTGCAGAGGACCAAAAATAGCACCAATTAATCGATTAACAGGCCATTTAATCGATTAACAGCCTAGTTAATCGATTAACAGGGCATTTAATCGATTATTCCAGAGAGCAAATACTAAAAATGGTTTTCTTTCTGTAATTATCGATTTTTCTGCCATTTAATTGATTATTCCAGTATGTTTTTGATAAAAATGAGTTTTTAGAGCCTTTAAAGAGTGGACTATGTGCTGACTATCTTGGACTCTAATATTACAGACTCAAAATCATAAAAACAGAGTTATTACATAACATTATAAGTCTTCAAATCTTTAAGTCCTTTATTCTTGAATCATCATCAAAATTTACAAGCTTCATATCCATGTATGTTCAACATTCATATCTTTGTATGTTCAACAATCTCCCCCTTTTTGATGATGATCAAAATTTCCTTTAAAGCCCTTTGTAATAACCTATTTTGTCTGTCACAGCTAAATAAGAAACATAAGAAACATAAGAGGCTTTAAATAAGAGCATAAGATATAAAAATAGCTCCCCCTCAAAGAAAGAAAAAATACCAATTTTATTCCATAAATTAAAGTAATTACAAACAAGAATATATGAGGAAGAGATTAAAACTCTTCACTTGCATCGTTGTTGAATTGAACATCAAATCTATCCTCTAAGTTACAAACCCTATCATCTACATCTGAGATATGACAAATGATTTCTTGATGCCGTTCTTGAGAGATAGTGAAGAATTCTTGCATTCTTTGATTCATATCAAAGATCATATTTTCCATTGATTGACGGGATGTAGGAGGGGCAGATGATGTCTCAGCAGTATGAATATTTTCAGTAGGAAACTCAGCAACAGACATCTCTTTATCGAAATCTTGAGCATCTTCAGCCATGTTGGGAGCGTCATCTTTGTGAACATAAATTCTATTTACACACACCATTTGAAGTTGAGTTAGCATGCTGTCAAACATTCTATTTGAATTTATCGTCCTGACCGTTTGCTCTCCTTCAACATTTACTCCTTTGTATTTTAAAATACGAGAAATAAGAAGAGCATATGGAATTTTGAAAGTTGGATGACGCTTAGCTTTAAGCATTGTCATGGTGACAAGACTACCCCAGTCAATTAGCTCATTATTCATGATGGCATGAATAATGTGAAGATCAATAGATGAGCATTGGGCATGGTTGGTTGCCCGAGGACATAAAATCCAGACAATGAGATGCAGCACCAAGCGTTCTTCCTTCTTTAATGGGCCTACCAATAGAAGTTGCCCAATTTCCATGGAGGGGTTGTGGAGAAATGAGCGGTAAGCCATAATTCTATCAAAATCTTCTAACTCCGCAAAAATATTGATAGCATCTTCTCTTATAGTAAAGTGGACAACATTTTCCCATATATCATCATCAAGGATGATAGTCACACCCTTGACTCGAGAAGTGGCTACATGATCTCTAAATTTAAAACAAGAATAGAATACCCTAACTAAATCAGGGTAGTAAGTACCTTGCATTTGGATAAATGGGAGTACACCTTGTATTTCAAGAAGATTTGGAAAATTCAAGCCCCTATTGATGAATTGAGCACCAATAATATATTTTGGGGTGATGATCCCCCTTTCTTTCCAGAAAGTGAGAAATTCTTGTCTACCTTCATCGTCTGAGATCCATCCTTCAACAGAATTTGGACGGGGATGAGAGGCAGGAGCAGATCTTCTTCTTGTGGGGATCTTAGCACGAGATGAGGAAGGCATTAAGATTAGAAGGAAAGAAAATAAGAGAGTTTTGAAAGCAAGTGAGGTTGTGAGAAAGCAAGAGAGCTTGAATGATGCAAGAATGCTTTGATTCAAGGTTTGGAGGTGTGTAGAAGTGAAATGAAGCCTTCCTATATATAGAGAACAAGTATAACGGTCATAAACGGTCATATTTGGGTGAAAGGGTGCCAAAATAGCCATTTCAAACGGCTAGTTTATAAAAAACGTTCCAGGATAATCGATTAAAGCTTCTATTATCGATTAAATCATCAACTGAACCAATTAATCGATTAACTGAAGCTTTTAATCAATTAAATGAGCAAATAATCGATTATTGCTTCAAATAATCGATTATTCCAGAGAGAAACTTCAGATTTTGGTTATTTTGGTTCAGATAATCGATTATTTCCCAAAATAATCGATTATTCCAGAGAGATCATCAAATTTTTAAGGTTTAGACACATGATAATTGATTAAAATCTACATAATCGATTATTACAGTACAATCATGCAAAAATTGATTAGTTAAGCAGAATTTAGGCTATTTCTAATATTCCTAAGTCTCTTCTAAGATCATAGAATCTATCCTTGGGAAGAGGTTTAGTAAAAATATCTGCTAATTGATGCTTTGTATCAACATATTCGATTTTACAATTTCCTTTACTAATGTGATCTATTAAGAAGTGATGTCTAATATCTATATGCTTAGTTCTAGAGTGCATTACTGGATTCTTGGTAAGATTGATTGCACTTATATTATCACAAATCAAAGGAATATCACTTAGAAAGATACTATAGTCTTCTAATTGTTGTTTCATCCATAAAATTTGAGCACAACAATTACCAGCTGCAATATATTCAGCTTCAGTAGTGGATAAAACAACACATGTTTGTTTCTTAGAATGCAAAGGCACTAAGGATGATCTTAACAAATGACATGTTCCACTAGTACTCTTTCTATCTATTTTACATCCACCATAATCAGCATCAGAATATCCTATTAAAATAGGAGAAGCTTCAGATCGATACCATAAACCAAATCTTGTAATTCCTTTTAAATATTTTAAAATTCTTTTTACTGCAGTTAAGTGAGATTCTTTTGGACATGCTTGAAATCTAGCACACACACAAACAAAATGCATAATATCAGGTCTACTTGCAATTAAGTATAACAGTGAACCTATCATACCTCTATACATAGATTGATTTATTTCCAAACCTGATTCATCCTTGTCTAAACAGCATGAAGTTCCCATGGGTGTTGTCGCCGCCGTCCCTTTCCGACGTCCGGAGCACGTCTCGAAACGTTTATGCGAGCGGTCGCGAAAAGATGGTTTAGACTCGCGTATTTGTTTTAAAATATATATAGATTTTCGAAAAAGGGTTCTTATGGAGTCGCCACCAATATTTTGACCAGAAACATTGGAAAAGGAAAAAAGAAAGAAAGGCGTTGATTTTATAAGATAAACAACTTGGCCGTTATAACCGGAGTTGGGTAAGGGAGTTAGTTACGTGTGGGGAAGGTGTTAGCACCCCACAACGCCCCTTTCGGGTTCCCTATGACAGATTAATTTGTTTAAAGAAAAGACTTTGAGAAATTACGCGATTACCCTATTTTATTGCATAATATTGAAATGACTATCTACATAATTTTATATAAATAAAGCTAAATAAAGCAATAAAAGAGATATTAAAATGACTATCTACATGATTCTATTCTACATGACATAATAAATCTAAATAAAACAATAAAACAATAAATAAAACAATAAAAGAGAAGGGAATTGAAAAGAACCTCCGTAGCAAGCTTTATATTGAGAATCTCGAACTGTGAGGATGCGTTTTGGCAACCCCTCTCTCTACACTTGTCTCTCCTCACCAATACAAGATTGACTCCACTAAAAATTTAAAGAAGAATCAAA